TTATGCCAGAATGTTCTACCCCAGGCCCCAAGTGCCTCCACCACTCAGCTCTTTCCACTCCACTCCATATCCCAACTATCCTGTGGCTCCTTTTCTTCTTCCCATCTTTTCTCCACCAACGGGCCAACACACCCTGCAATACTTCATTCATTCTTAAACCGTCCCCACCCCCAACCCCAAAAGACCTGCGCTACTCCTTTTAGGCAAGTATCTTATCCAAGAGAAGCCACAGTAGAAAACACCTGCTGGGATAGACATGTGACTGGACTTTGCTCTGAAATTAAACATATCCCAGCAAGGTTGTCAAAGCTCCCAAATTAGTGAATTCGATCTTCTCATTCAATTCCATATATAATTCAGGGATTCACAGAGAGACCCAAAAACCTTGTACAAGAAATTCCGCAATAGAAGCTAGCCCTCTGGCTAGAAAAACATAAGGAACCCTAAATTCAATGGAAGCCAGGGCTTCTAGAAAGAGCCCATCCCTTCGCACCGCCCAGCACGAGACATGCTCAAACGTCAGGTCAAGGCGCAGCCATCGTCCATCCGGGCGACTGCAATGGCGGCCAGACCAGCTCCCCCATCCGCTCTTGCTTGCCTGTGTCTATACTGCGGCCAGAGCGGTCTTCTATAGTACAGACCTGCTCCTATCGCTCTCCTCTGACGACCCATCACCACCCTTGGAACACTATTCCAGCCCTTTATCCGTGGCCCTCGCAGCCCTGGCGCGCGCCCGCCGCCCACACCCTGCTGACCTCCCGTGTCACCGCCTCGTCTCACTCGGTGGGCCACACACACCTTTGGCTGTTCCCCAGGGGAGCCTTGGAGCCTCTGCACTTGCCGTGTCCCCTGTGTGGATGGCTCCCGCCCGACACACGTGCAAGGCGCCCCCTCATCTGGACTCATGGCGCCTGCTCAACAGTCACCTCTCAAAGGACTTTTCCAGGCACCGTATCAAACATCACCCCTTCCCCACGATCCCCAACACTGCTCCAGTCAGTTTTTTCCATTTCCCCAAACAACAGCTGGCATTATCCATTCATTCGCTGACTGCCTGCTTCACCGTGGCCAGAATGCAAGCTCCGTGAGAAGTCACTGCAGCACCCCGGGGTCGGGAACGGTGCCCGGCACCTGGTAGGTTGCTCAGTAAAGAGAAGGCGAAGGAACAAATGAATTTTAAATGAGCACTTTCTATCTGGCAGCCTCTGTACCAGGCGGTGGGGCAGAAAGATGAATGACACACAGGATCGAGTCTTTTCCCTGGAGGAACTTAAACCCTAGCACTGAGGGAGACCATCCACCATGAGTCAAAAGCACCGGGACATGAGCTTGGAGCGTTCCCGGGAAATGAGCCGAGCAGTTAAGAGAGGAGGTGGGGACAGACCAGGGCCAGACTACCAAGGAGCCTGAATCCACACTAAGGAACGGGGCGTTGCTCAGAGCCCCCAGCATCCATCGCTACGCGGGAATGGAAAGAGGTAAAGAACCTGAAGTCAGAAGGACAAAACGTAGTGACTCTCCGTGTGGAAGGAAAGGAGACGTTGTAGGTTTCCAGGAAAAGCCACTGCCCGCACACGAGGGGGACAAAGCTGGTGACTCAGCTGGGGACAAGTTGAGTTTGTGGCACCTGTGACCGCAGGTCTAAGTCACAGTGCTAGAGGACCCCTGATGGACTTGGAAATTCCACAACCCTGTTCCCTGACCTTCTTCTCTGTCGGGGGCTCACGATGTCCTGACAGAGCTCAGCCACACGTGTCAGGCCCCATGGGGGCTACACCTCAGCCACGCATGAGGAGCCCTCACCAAGCCTGTAAGGTTAAGCGTACTCCTTATCATGCTTTCCGAAAACAAGGGATGCCTGTTTTGCAGTGAAGTCTGACACAAAGGCAGAGACTCCCCAGGAATTTTTCCTAGTCGGTGGCTTGAAAGTCCAATTCTAAATGGGGAGACAGCATTATTTACAATTTTAAAAATCAGAAAGTTCCCAAAGACAGGCTTTGTTGCTGCTTTCCACCTTGCAATGTCATGGAAATCCCATGTGAATGCATGTGTATATGCGTACATACATACAAACATGAGGGGGACATGTTAAGAAGGAAAGGAGGAATAAAAAAATGTAAGTAAAAACCCCAAACTTATGTTTAACAGTAAAGGACAACTGTACACAACAGAAGGACAGACTGTGTCTCAAGGTCAAATTCAGCAGCAAGGTTTCCCAGTGCCTCACACATCTGGCTGAAGGCCCTGTTACTGGGGCATGTTGCCCAAATTTTAGTGATCTCATTTCTCAATTAATAAATCATCCTCCACAGTTTCAGCCTCTGATTCTTCCCTAAGAAGTCGGAGATACAGAAGCAGGAAGGAATAGGCTGAATCCTTTAAGGGCTCGGAGACTTAAAGTCAAACGCCCCTTGGGAATTACTGGCCAAACAGGCTCAACTCCTAGGAGTGAGCGAGCTGCGCTCCTGAGTGGCAAACCTCTGGGGGAGGCTGGGGAGAGAGGACAAGACGCAGGAGAGACGTGCAAAGGATGCGTGAGACGTTAGCTCTGTTCAGGAGAACATTCCACAACCAGAAGGACCCACTTCCCTAACAGGCTGAGTCAATCCAACTACTGTACCGTGAGAGCCAAACAACTGGAAACAAGGGGTCTCTCTGAGTCTACAAAGCTTTCTAATCTTCCTGATGAGGGCCAGGGGTTAGTTCATTTACACCCACTGCTTGGTTGTCAATCTCCATCTCTCCTCCAACCCCTTACGCATCTGCTGTGCCACATCCACCGAAGAGAGCCTCCCCAGGACAGGAGACAAGGAGCCAGGGACATGCCCCAGGAGGAGGACGGGGCTGGATTATCAAGACAACAGTGGGCTTCCCCGTCCCGAGTCCCTATCCTGCCAACAGGGAAACCCGAGAGAGAAGACATCAAAGACTCTTTAGCTGGATGTATACTGGACAAAAATTGCTCTTGTGTCTTAATACTTTTTAAATATAACTGGCCCATTCAATAATCTTTGTAACAAATAAAACAAAGGTGTATAGAATAATAGAAACCATCTAGACTAGGGGGCCCTTATTTTATCTGTGAGAAAAACAAAGCTCTTCAGACTTCAAGAGACTGGCCCACACCACCGGCATGCTGGGGCACGGCAGGGGCTGGACCCAGGCAGCCCTGCACCCCCGCACTGGCTTAATTCTGCCCGAGGTATGGATTAAGGGATTCACTGCTCACTGCGGCTGCGTCATTTCAACACACACACGACTACAGCACTGGTAATAAGTACCAGTAAAACATGAAATCTCGAAGCTTAAAGAGAAACTGGTTTGAGGAGAAGTCCCAGCTGAGGGAAAGATAAATAGCAACATGCTTAAAAGAAATAAACCCTACTGTGAGGACACTTCTTAGAACAAGAACACATTATTTAAAAATCACAGTTCTAAAAAAATAAAATAAAGTCACAGTTCTGTTGACACATCTGAACTTGCACATGGTATGACTGATATATAATGTTTTATTCTAGGGCAGTAAATTATTTGCTTGCATGCACAAATTTTTATGGAAAAAAACAAAAACAGAAAATAAACTCGTAATACACAAAACAAGAAAAATCAGGAAAAACCCAAGAAACCTACTTTGAATCGACCCTCCCTTTGTAAAGCAAACCGTACTGGCATTTTTTTCTAACGGGCTTTTGGTGGGGGGGGAAACGTTTAAAAGTCAAAAGCAGATCTGAAGTTTGGCGGCTGAAAGGATGTAATTAGTAAATTCTGATCATCTCACATTTCAAGTCTATCTTACCTAGTTAGCCTGTTAAAACTAAGCAAGCAAACAACCTGAAAGTCTTCTACCAAATCAACACGGCCCAGACCACCGTTTCCATTTCAAACCTGGCTTTCCCATGGAACTGCCAAGCCAACCCCAAAAGAAACACCGTCCACTTAAACAGCTTCCTTTATAAAAGACTAACACAGTCCTTCCCGGCACAGAGTCACTGTGCTCATTTCCACTCGTAGGTATCGAATTCGCAAGGTGAAAACACATTCCAGGAAAAAACTCATCGCTCGGGAGATAAAGTTCGGCGCAGACTCTCAGGTTGCATCTTGTTTTCTTGATTTAAGAGGATTTCCTTAACGTTCGACCATACTGTGGGTCGTGCAATGCAGCCCACTGGACAGAAACCATTCCCAGCTCCCATACATGGAAGCCCTAAAGATGGTCCACTAACGGGAAAACCAGACACCGAGGAGGACGGCAACGTGGGCGCTTAGTCTGCACCAGGCAACCCAAGCATACAGCTGGCCGGAGGACGGGGTTTAGAGCTTGGGACACCAGAGCCACTTTGGATCCACCGGAAACTAAAAGAAGGTGCCTGTTTAAAATCCTGAGAAACCTGAATGCAATCACCATGTTTCTGTAAGTGCCCCACAATCTAGAAGGTGGAAGGCCGTGTGGGTTCATCCACATTCCATCCACCCAAAGTCCTTTCCCGAAGGTGTCATTCTCCCAACAGCCCAAGGCACTCTGGAACCGCTGTTCTGCATTCTGTGTGAAACATCTCTAGATACGGCCTGCTAAGGGTCCCACTGTCGGACTCTGCGTGGGAAAAGCCACCCGGCCATCAGGCCGACTGTGGACAATTTATTTGGTGGGTTAACGACCCCGAGTTTGGGTAGTTTATCTGTGATTCAATAGCCTGTGCTCTCTGAGGGTTTTCTTCCCTGTGAAAACAGAAGAACATCATCTCTACAAGCCCATTCATCACTCTGTATGAATCTTGTACAAAACGGGCAATAAACACAGCATTTTCTTACAGCTACCAAAGCTCTCGCTGGTTCAACAGGGCATGGGGTATAAAATGATGAAGTAAAACTAAAAAAAGGAGCTGGTATGTTTCCATTCCTACTGCTTGATAAAGCTCACGTCCAAACAATGACTATTAGACGTGGGCAAGGCAGACCCCCGCACCCCAGTCCCAGAGTCTGGGAGCATTTGCTTTACTTACTTGTATTTTAAGAGCAGCCACTGAATTAACCAGAGTCCTACGAGGATCATGCCGTTAATTTCACAGATAGAAAAGGCCCACTGCACCCGGTTAAAATGGTCAAAGAACGTGTCCGGCAGCGGGGGCTGCACCTCCTTGGGAGGCACTCGCTCGTGGACGACCGAGATCATCACTGTGGTGAGGACGAAGCAGGACAGAGCATACAGGAAGGCCAGGCACGTCTTGCCCCACTCCATGGGGTACTGGGAGCGCTCGGGCTCTGGCATGGGGATCTTGATCATCTCCTTCCTGTAGCCGTTGGGCACCCCGTTGGGCTTGGCCTGCAGGCCAAAGCCGGCGGCGGGGCCAGGGCCGGCCACACCTGCACCCAGGTGCCCGTTGGCGTGGCCGTTCTTGTGCGCCTCCATGTGCTGTTCCACCTTCAGGGTCTCGATCATGTCCAGGAGCCGCTGCCCGCTGTCGGCCGACACGCGGCACAGGGGCGGCCGCGCGAAGTCCTCCCGGGTCAGGCCGATCAGGTCCCGGCCCGTGAAGTGCTCCAGGGGCTCACAGTACTCGGGCATGGCGTGCTCCAGCAGCCAGTCTGCCACCTTCTTGGGGGACCAGTACGCCACCTCCTTCATGGTCCCGGCGGGCGGGGGTCAGCGGTCCCGCGGCGGCGCACCCATGCTGCCCGGCCTCATGCCGGGGACGTGCGTGGCCAGATGCGCGGGGCCGCTCCCGCTCCCGCAGCCCGCACACCGCTCTCCGGGGCTCTGGGCGCCGGCACGCGCTCACCTCATGGCGCCCCGGCCGTCTTCCTTCTGCGGAGGCAAGAGACACAGTCAGCAGGGGGCTCCACGCCAGTCCCTGCGGGGCGCACGGCCCCTGCGCGCGTCAGCAGGACGCAGACCCCGAGACCTGGCCCCGGAGCGGGGCGGGGGGGGGGGGAGGGGGTGGAACCACACGGCTCCCCGGCTCATCCTCCCCGAAGAAGCAGCCAAGGACACCCCGGAAGGATGGGATCACGTCCTCTCCAAAGGCGCGTTGCCTAAGAAGTAACGCCACAGGGCTCTGGATACGGCTCAGTATGGGTCAGGGGTTCCCTCCGTACTTACCTACTTCCTGACATAACCTGAGATCAGGCGGCAAATGTGCCTCACCTACCATTCTATCCGGTGGAGAAAGGTTTTCCAATGTACCTAACACACAGCAACTTAACAGATATCCCAGATAATCACAGAAATGTCGAGCCTCAGAACCATCTGGTCCAACAATTTGATAGCCTTACATGCAAAAATACCAACGAATCCCTTTTTTCCCCATGCGGGGCATTTTCCACGTTTCTCCTACCTGTTTTTCTTTAATAAGCATGGATTACTTTTGTAACAACACTTATAATTTAAAACAACAAGAAAAGTGAAGACCCACTTCTATAACAAGTTATCATGGTTAGTGAAATATGTCGTCAGCAGCAGACAGACCATAATTGGACTCAAAATCTCCCATGGGTAAGCCCCTGGGTGAGCTTCAGCTTACTGATCTGTGAAAGGAAGCTTCCCCCCCCTCGCAGGGTTGCTGTCAGGACTTTAAAAACCATATGTAAGTCTAGCACTAAGAAGGGTCTGTTCATCCCATATCCTTTGTTCTCCTTCCTTAATTTTTCTATGCTATCCAATAGCTACTGTCTACTCCATGTCACTATGAAAACACCCTAAGAGTGGGCTAACTTTTTCTTCCTTAAAAGATGAATGTTGTGGGATGCCTGGGTGGCTCAGTCATTAAGCGTCTGCCTTCAGCTCAGGTCATGATCCTGGGGTCCTGGGACAGAACTCTGTGTGGGGCTCCCTGCTCAGCAGAAAGCCTGCTTCTCCCTCTCCCACTCGCCGTGCTTGCATCCTTCTCTAGCTGTCTGTCAAATAAATAAATAAAAATCTTAAAAAAAAAAAAAAGAGTGTTAACTACAAAAACACCTGCACAGATATGTAGGCTTAATGGCTAGAAATTAGTGATGGCAGTGTTTCCCAAGTATGCTTTGCAGAATAACCATCTGATAAAATGCTCTGTGCTTTAAAAAAAAAAAAAAAAAAAAAAAAATCCAGGGGCACCTGGGTGGCTCAGATGGTTAAGCGTCTGCCTTCGGCTCAGGTCATGATCCCGGGGTCCCCACATCGGGGTCCCTGCTCGGCGGGAAGTCTGCTTCTCCCTCTCCCTCTGCCTCTCCCCCTGCTCATGCTCTCTCTCTATCTCTGTGTCTCAAATGAATAAATAAAATCTTAAAAAAAAAAAAAAGAAATCCAAATTAAGTCTCAGGAACTGCGTACTAGAGCCTCTTCCAGAGACAATAGCAGGTATTAGCATGTTAGAAGCTCTAAAAAATCCTCCAGTAGGAAACTGGTTAGCAGGATTTCTCAAATGGACTTCACTGAGTCTGCTGTCCCCCCGGCCACCTCCCCAGTGACTCCTGTCAACTCCCAATGGAGCGCACTGGGCGGTAGTGGCACAAACAAGACCCAGACTCGGTTCTACCGAACCCCAAATCGGACTGTGGAATGAAGATGGACAGACGTCCACTCCCAATCTCCCCGTCCAAATAACAACCAATGAAATGGCAGTAAAGCTCAAGATATCCCAGACCTTGCAAAAAGGTTGGGTGTTCTCTCTTCTGTACATCCACACTGTTGTCGCACCGCCTTCTGTAATGTGTGTGTCTGCAAACCTCCTCCACCCCCCCAAGGAGACCAGGAGTGACTGGGGAAGGGCTACAGTCTTGAGCATCCGCAGAACTCACAATGCAAGGGCTCACTTGACATCTGCTCATATCTCAAGAAATGTCCCTGACATTTATCAACATGTAGACGGTGGAATAGAAAATAAAATCTACTCAAAATGCCACTGATACTGAAAACTGCTTCAGAACAATTTGGATAGTCAAGGAACATGCTAAGGTGGGCATTCTTCAGAAATGGGAAACCAGAGTGGACCTCTGGCCATTTGAGAAGCACTCTAGAGGGGCTTCGGTCGTTGCTAGGACTGCCTGGTGACAAGAAGACACGAGCCAAATGGAAGTCCTGCCAGACGGTCCTGCGGGACAGGGGATCCCTTGGCGACACAGCCCGGGCCTCGCCCCGAACACTCCTCAGCGGAGTTACAGGATCAGCCAAGGGAGCCCTGCCCATCTCGAAATGGCTAGGAGAGCTCGAAAGAGAAACTCCTGGAGGAATATTCAGGCCCAAGGGAATGAACGGGCTTCTCACGTGGGTTCCTCGCTTCCCCCTGGCCCACGTGGGAAGTCTGCCAGGAGGGGAAACCCCGCAGAACCACAGAGACCAGACCAATGCCAACGTGTTATTTCACTCCTCTCCGCTGAGCAAACTGTCAGATCATCTCCTCTTAAGACTTAGTCATCTTTACAACAGAAAAACAGCAAATGGTCGGAGACAATATGGGGCCAACAGACTCACGGATGAAGGAGCGCTAACCGTACAGAACTAGCCCAGCAGGCAGGATCTCCGAAGACACAGCGAGAAAAACCAGTGGCTTCCGCTGTAACTCGGCCAACACAACTGTGTGCCCCCTAAGACAGGCCCGGTGCTTCCCTCCACGTTGGCATTCTCCATCTACTCTCCAGCAAGCCCCACATCTTCCCTCAGTGCTTCAGATCATTCCCAGTCCTGTCCCCTCCCTGCGTCCCCACACCACCGGTGTCTGTGACCATATACTTTAATGGGCTTGTGTGCCCAGTGCCACGACGCATGCCAGCCGTGTGAGGCGGGGAGCCTGCAGCCGGGACCCAACTCAGCCACCTCCCTTCTTGACAGAGTTCTCGAACCCCGCCGAGCCTCAGTGTCCTCTGGAAAATAGGATCAACAACTACCTTACCCAACTCCCCGCGGGCTGCTCCTGCTGGGAGGCTCCAATCAGGGAAAAGGAATGAAAGCTATTAATTACTCTAAGAAATTGGTCTTGTTCTTCTGGTAACGGCCTGCTTTCTTCCTGACACCCAACTGGGCCCACGGTGACGTTTCATAAATAGGGACTGAAGCTGCCCCTCCCAAATGGCATTTTTAAAAGCCCAATCATTCCGACACACAAGTTCAAACAGCCTTCCAGATTTCACGAGAAAACAAACCTTTGTTTTTCAAGCAAGCTTTGAAGCTTGAAAATAAAGGCACAGATGCTATTTTCGTGCAGACGATGCCAAAATCGTGTAAAAGGGGAAAAGGTCATTTATCTGGAAGTAACTGCCTGGCAGCTACTCGGTACCTCAAAGGCCACTGCTCAAAGGCAGGACTTACTCAGAGACCCCAGGGCCCAGCTGTGGGAGGAGAGGTGAGAGACTCACTTCCTCCTGGCCTCACACACTCACTTCAGAATAGAATAGAAGATACCGCAGCATTTCTGAGAAGTGCTTCTACATCTAGACCCAGAAGACTGTACGTTAGACTGAGCTCAGAAAACTACTACCACCAGCCCCGTCCAGAAAAGCCATCCTGAATCCACTACTGGGAGAATGTTCAGAAATAACGCATAGCTCAAGTCCCCAGACTTGGTACTCAGGACTCAGAAGTCGTAAGAGAATAAAGCCTTGATATTCCCCATTACCAGAATGTGAGCAATGGAAGAGGAGCTGGAGGGCTCGTTCATCCACAAGTCTCAGACACAAGTAGAGTGAAGTGTCTAAACTCTCCGACATAGCAGAGTTAGTCCCAGAGCTAGACAAACCCACCATGCTTTCCAGGGCCGCCCACTGCATATATTCAACGACCTCACAGACGTCAACAAACGTGAAGGGCAGTCTAAGAGTCTCTAGAAAAAAAAAGTTATGCAGTCCTATAGCATTAAGGGCAGGAACAACAACACATATTCATTATAGATTCCAAACCCAGCAGGGATTTCTAATGAGACCCCAACTGAGTGAAAAATAAATCTGCTAAAACAATTTGGCTCCAATTCTTAGAACAGATATTTTAAGCCTTAGTATTGTAAAAGCCATCAGATAATATGCCACAACACACTATAAACTATTTATAGCTCTTTATCAAAGCCAGCTCTCTAGAACCAGAAAAAGTAAGTTAAACCAATTATCCTGGTAATGAAAGCATTACCCAAATAACTAAATCATGTATGAATATGTGTTTATCGCTACATAAAAAGAATCTACTATATTACCTTATTGTCTGGCATTGTCTAGAAGTAAGACATTGTTGTGTTAACACAAAGCTACCACATCAATTGAACAAGGAACACAAGTTTTCAAGAATTAAAATGCCAGAAAATGCACAGTGAAGCTCTGAAGCAAGTGCTCAGAAAATCTGAGTTCTAATAATTGCTCCGTATTTTACTCCAATCCCAGTGCCTCGGTTTCCTATAATGGAACAATTTATTCCGTCTGCTTGCTGCATTAGTTTAGGGAATTTATGGACAACTGACAGTGCTTTGGGTAACATAAGGCAAGACATAAAAATGTAAGAAATTATTATACTGAACGTTATTTATCCTTTGAAGATTCAAGAACTTTAAAATAAGTGCCATGAAATTAAGAATTGAATTTTTACAATTTTTTTAAGGAACGGTGGAATTGATTGAATGAACTTAGCTGCCGTGTCAATGAAGAAACTAGAGCAAAGTTCCAGATGTTTCTACATGCTGACAGTGGCAAATGAGAGTAGAAAGTAGTGCGTGCACAATTCGTCTTTTAGAGGCATACTGAGTGAGCTGAACGTTCTGCTCTTTGCATCAAATTTCTAAAACACAAAAGCAGAAGTAACATGGGCTTTAAACGCGAATTCTGCTCTAGTAGCTCAAATAATCAACTTAGTGC